CGGTAATTCCAATCATGTTGCCGTAAAGAATGTAATAAATTATAATTAAACACAATAAATTTCGGACAAACGGTCACTGACGTGTGTATCCTTAACGTCAAACAAAGATAACTGTAACCGCCCCATACACCGTACGTTTTTACAGTATCTTCAGCTAGAATCAGCTTTCTGAGATTACAAGTTACATATATGTTTTAGTACCAAGTATATAACTATTGGTCGAAGGAGTTGATTGACATTATTTTTAATATAAAAAACAGATATGTCATTTATGTAAATATGCACCGGCAATATATTCAAACACATACAGATGTATTAGCCAGTCGATTAACAACTTACTTGTTGTAAAGTAGAAACACATCAATGGGAAAGTGGTGCTTTACTTGTTGGCGTTACTTATTACAATAGACTTTTACAGATCGTGCGTCAAACAGATTGATTCAGATTGATTCCATGTCAAAGGCGGCTTTAAATTAAACTACAACATGATATTGTGATTTCAAGACACACAAGATTTGGAATCTAGTTAAGTATATGGATAATTTACATGTGTAGGGTCGAATGAGTTCTTGTTACTTTATGCTATAATGTAACGAGTTACATCTCAATAACTATATTATATCTAAATATAGCCTGTCACGATGTGACACGCAGGGCCGTTTTCGTTCATCGCGATACAAACGGCTGAACTGGTTGGAGAAGAGTTGTTCGTTTATGAAGTAAGGTTTGACCTAGTAATCTGATGCTACTTTCAGGTGAACCTTGCCCAAGCCTTGCAAGGCCTGCATGAACCTGTACAGGTCCGCTAGGATTTATACTCGAAAATGTTACATTTAAAACCGGCCGTACAGGTTGTTCCGCATAAAGGAACAGGCCCCTGGACTATAGTTTTCTGTGGATGTCGAACAAGAACATACTAAAGGATGAATTGTTCTAAGGACATCGTAATTCAGCTGTTGTAACGTTTGCGTGTACTTATCAGCCTGAAATAAATGTTTTTCTAATAATCACCAGGGCAGTTTAGATAGAATGACTTTGTAACGGTCGTAATACATAGAAAGGAAGCGAAAATGTAGTAGGACAAGGAATAGTGATAAAGATAGTGCCGTCGCTGGGGCTCGAACCCGCGACCCTTGGCTCTCCAGCCCGATGCGCTACTGTGTTGAGCTAAAGGTTAATTCCCTAAGACAACCTTATAAGTCCACATCTTTTACAAATCCATGTACACTGGTTCTTATATGACGGACACCCTATTGTTCCTAGAATGTCCATAATGTCTCCATTCGTACATGTAACATTATATTTCGCTGGACTGTCGTAGATGCGTCTGAAAGAATGCTAAAAGGTCTAGACGCGTTTGGAGACATTATCAAAGAAGTTCTAAACGGAAAATTTCATCGCTGAAAGAAATTTATAAACATAAGATACAATATACATGTACTTTCCAATTTACTCTGGGCCCATACTAAATAGATTCATGCAACTGAGCAATCATCACATGTTCGTGCTTTAGAGCGGTAAGATAAACGTACATGTTCGACTGGTCAACACTCCGGTCTTCCACGCAGACGGCCGGGGTTTGATCCCCGAAGTCGTCGTCCTCATGCATATTCAGAGAAAGTGTTTTTCTCCTGCCCGCACAACTCCGACAACCTAGGTGGAGTATTAATGGGTCTGGACTGGATGTTGCGGTATCTATGCTGCAGGATGCAAGTGAGGTGGCACTATAAATATTGCCGTTTAAAGAAAGGTCCCACTACCGAACAGAACACATTACATCTCCAACACACACGCAGGCATACACACATAAGGTGATATTACCAAGGTGGCATAGGACTAGTAGTAGTTAGCGCCTTATAAGACAGCTCCTGTGAATTCCTCAAAATTGTATTGATTGATGTATATACTTAATGTATTAATTGTATATCTAAGTACTGTAAAGCGATTTAGAGTGGCTTATGTTAACTAGATATGGCGCTATATCAAATGTTGCATATTATTTATTTATTATTATTATTATTATTATTATTATTATTATTATTATGTATGACTGAACATTATAAAAGTTCATTTGAAAGTTCATCATTATCTACCACGAGAAGAAAGCACCTGCCACTGGTATGGTTACTGCTTGTAGGAATAGGATTATTAAAGTGTATCAAATAATATTGAAAATCTTTCATACTAATAATGCTTAAAAATAACGAAAGTAACCGCTTACCTACATATTTAAGGTATTATTGTTAGTGTAAAAAATCATCACGTTTTTTCATAGGTCCCAGCGGTATAGAATACATCTTTCTCTACAAACAACTCTGTAAGTAGTAGATATAGGTTTAACAATAAAAAAAAATGAACTTAACTGTCGGTATTGTTTCTATATGCATGTAAATATATATTCACGTGTTTGTTTTCTCACGTGTATGGCCGGTGACGAGAACAAGACGTTTTTGCCATACTGGTAATCAATGAGATGGTGCCTTGTAGGTACATACACTATACAATGGGGGCAGGCCGACGTCTGCACGCGATCTTCATAATAATTCATGACATGTGTACACCGACTGCTATATAGATCAGATCAGGACTCGACTGTTGGGGAGAAATCCTGGCCCCAGGATCTTGAAAATGTCATAGACTTATAAGGTAATGGGTACCAAAGTGTTTAACGCACGCTAACATCCGGGTTACATGAGTGATTAATATAAGTTGTAATAACTTGTTTCATAATTTTGTAAAATTACTGAAGTGTGTATTATAGAAATGATTAACTATATTATTGCCACTGTCACTTTTGTGAAATATTTCTATGTGTTCTATTCAAAAGAAGCATTCCGTAAAACGTACATATTGCAATTAATTTCACATGAATTAAAATTAGTTGTAATGGTTTGAAAATATAAATAAAAAAAGAAAACATATGAATTGTAGGGGTCGAACTCAGGACATGTAGAGTACAAAACCCACATTAAGGCTTTGCTGATGAAAATTTAAGGTCGTCATCATGTTCCGGATATAAATGTCGTACTACCGAATATAAAGGCCCAAAAAGAATACCAATATTTGTGAATATAAATGTGTTTTAATGGAATAAACGTGTATATTTATATTTGCGATGCAACACATTGTATAAGCTTTACCAGAAGAAATGCATTTTATCTTACAATGAAATGAAAGTATCTTGTGACGTTCACGAAGATTCATTGTCAAGGAGGACATTGTCTTTTCGCGTGGAGAATGCTTCTGCGTCAAACGTTCAAATCACTATGATTAGTTATTGGCGCCAATTTATTCGAAAAGCGACGTTCTGCCGGTGTCGTTTTATTGACGACACTTAAAAACAAAGTAGATATGTTAATGTGTAAGAGTTATGTGTGTGGTTATAAATCTGAAGTCACTCTGTCACGACATTTTGTATATAGCATTGATTAAAACATATTAATGGAGGAAGAAAATAAAAATTGCAACAAATGGTACTAGCTCATTTTATGATTTGCTGTGTGAAAACGGAAGTGTGTGTATTGAACTTTTCCCTTTCAATTCCAAATTAAACTAACAATGTCCGATACCATTTGTGTGTATTATACGGCTCCTATTGAACTACCGAACGGGATATCTGTGACGTCATCGTTACTCTGGTGGTAGCTACAACTATCATAACCGTTATGAGAGATACTGTTAATAAAATATCTTGAGATTTAAGATGTTGATGTATTAAGATCCAGGGGCCATCTAGAGCTGTCCATACCAAATGGGAGGATCACAGTTCGTTTCGTATCTAAAACCATGTATGTGTCTTGAAGAAACTGTTTTGTGATCCAATTAGAAAACAGCTTAGCATTCTGTCTGCAGCAGTATGTGTTAAATGACACATTAAATCACAAAACGACCTTAAACTGGTCAGCCAAAATAACAATATATATTATCTAAACCACTATAAAATTTCTAAAAAACAAATTTAAAAAAACCTGTTCATAACTTCACACAATGCAGTCCACTTAACATGATTTTGGCACAATCGTCACAATTGACTGCGCCATTTACCAATAATAATAAGAAAACAACGATTGATAGGAGAAATATATGACTGTCCTATAGATGTAGGCGATTTGCGATTATACCGGCCATACTGTTCGAGTAAATAAACGAACTATCTTACTACTGTACATCACAGGGACCTGAGAATTTGTAACAGCTATATTTGGACCTAAACTAAGGTGTAAAACAAATGCTCAGGCCCCTGTGCTATACATCAATGTATGTTGGTTTGACCACTATAAACGGAGTGCACACCGTCATCTTCAATTACAGAAAACGGACCCCTTTATCAACATGTATAGTCCGTCTTTGCTCACTATAGCAGTTTACCTAATTAAACAGGTCATCATATTATAGGTGATGATCACCGGCCGGCGAAGGTCATCAGGTGGGCGTCATCGGGCGAAGGACAATCACACTAATTATAAATCGAATAATCAATGTTTAATACATGTATGATAAGTGGACTCTTAATTGCGACTATGATAATGGTAAAACAAACCAAACTAAAGGAATGACTGTGAAAATTACGAGCTAATGATATAAATACATGTAAAAGCGCAATGTCCGCCAGCCTTTACGGTCTATAGCGGCTATCGTGTTCTATATACGTAGCAGTAATTTAATGTAATTGGCCATATTGAGTCTACTTCGGACCACACAGCTAATGTATATATACCATAGCCTATCGGGGACGCCAGCGGGCCAGTAATATTGAATTGTGACAGGATTGATTAAAAGTCAGTGTCTGTCGATTATCCATCGTTTGACAGTTGTAATAGCCAAGAGCTGGTCATCAAAGTCTGCCCGCGGGGGTCGGGCGTGTAACCTAGCAAGATGGCATTGTTCGAACCTTATTTTTGCCACCTTTAAATTTGGCTTACAGCATTAATCCCGATCCGTTGTTGCGCAAACCACAGCAATATTGTAAGGGTAGATATTCCTACAGGGTATTATTTCCGTAATCTTATTGCATTAATCCGCGATCACTACAATACGTAAGTGTTGGTCGGTAAGACGCTCGTTGTGGTCCGTTTGACAGGCTATAATGGCCGTACGGATATTACATGCGCTATAACTTGTCGGCAGCGATGGATTAGCGCATTAAATACCAGGCGACAGGACCGTTCCGGCCGATGTTCGGTTAGTTACCCAGAGTGGAAGGACGAAATCGGGAGCGCAGGGCACTTTTCATTGCAGAGAGGTCATGATCAGTACCGGTAAGATTGGCTTTTTAAAAAAAATCCTAAGAAATGAGGGTATGATTTAAAGATATTCCAATCTCATAGCTCATTCTCATATCACCATATGATAATGTCTGAAGTGGCACCCTGCCAGACTTAGACAGAAACTCTCCAGCAATTGTGTTTTGCGAATGAAATCTCCAGCGTGTTGGTAGAGCGCCTGATTTGCTGCTGATAAGTGTACGGACCAAATGCGGTCTGATTAATAAACGTGACAACACGCATCCCCTGAAGTGTAGTGTTAAAATAGCCCAATAGTTCTCAGGCCGAGACACGCACCAGGTAGTGTGGCCGCAAGTTTTTATTCATGAATGCATCTTGCAAATGGACCTTACAACTAGTGACGTGTAGTCGTCTTTGTTTTACAGTTGAAGCCGGTACAACAGTGGGCAAGTGCTGCTGATGCTGGGGGCCACACACAGAGGAGCGAACATATATCACTGTGGAATAGCTTACACTACACCAGCAATACACCAAGACAGGTAACTCTTAACTCCTGTTCATCTGATAAAAACGATTTTTCACGAAATTTGACTCCGTCGCCATGTCGGACCTGTGTTTGTTGTCGCCATTAAAACGGAAGTTCATTGAGAACTGGATAAATGAAGTGACTAGGAGTTACGCAGATGGATCTATATGTCGGGTCGTACTCAGCTCTATCCCGTACGACCCAGACGATCGGGAGGAGTGCGCTCGCCCCAACGAACGCACCTTACCGGACAAGATCATTCGTATATCTACCCACGACAAACACAAAAAACACGTGGATTTTACAACAAGCAATAACAGTCAGGTGCAACAGCTTCCTGCCGTGACATTTTCATACATCCACGTTGACAAGCATAAAAAGCAGGATAACGGCGCCGTGCCGATGTTTGGATATGAGATGTACAATGACAAAAATAGAGACAAAAATGATCAAAGAGACGATAACAAAAGGTTTATTATCGTCGATCCTCAAATGATTAACCCTTCCAGTCAGACTGCGGTGGTCCGGAAGTCAGTGATAAAACAACACGAAAATGACTCTCCCCAAACTCGTGTAAACAGAGAGTCATCGTTCTCGTTAAAGAAAGAATCGAAGGACTTTTATACAAAGTGTAAACTTCATTCCAGTAATAAAAATGGTTTTGTGATATCTCGTTCTAATTTCCGAAATCAAGGCACGTGGAAGAATCATAGTTTTCTGGATTTGCCATTGAGATTTAGGCATGATTCTCAGAAGGCTACAAGAGCCTCTCAGCTGACAATACACTCCAAAGAAGCCACGCCGTCCGCCCAGCAGAAGGCAGACGGCAACAACACTTCACGCAGAATCGACAGTCACAACCCAAAAATGATAACAACGGCTGTATGGGCGTGGTGACAGCATGTTCACATGTAGTACATGTAAGGAGACGTTAGGGGTCATGCGACAGCACGTAAATAGCGTTGGTGACAGCACGTGAGCAGGACGCGTATGACTATGATGACTTGTTTGACAACATGTGTATAGTTTGGTAAGACGTTTGAACAGCCTTGGTGACAACGCGTGTAGATCCATACTGACTCGTTAGGGCGTTGGTGACAGTACGTAAAGCGACCTGGTGACAGCGCGTGAAGAGCCTTGGTGACAGCGCACGAAGCGCCTTGGTGACAGCGCACGAAGCGCCTTGGTGACAGCACGTGTAGATTCATGGTGACTAGTTAGGGCGTTGGTGACAGTGCGTAAAGCGACTTGATTACAGCGCGTGAAGAGTCTTGGTGACAGCGCGCGAAGCGCCTTGGTGACAGCACGTGTATGTCCGTGGTGGCTTATCTGTCTGACAGTATCCTTGTTTACGTAGTACTGAATGACAATGGTGTGAAAACCCGTGTAGGGTTGTAGGAACATCACGTGCAAGGTTGTGGACGTGGACGTATGTTTCAATATGGAGCACGTTACCTTATACATTATACCTGTGATATGTGTTGGAGTTAATTAAGGATATCTATGTTACCTTACACATTATACCCACATTTTGTACCAGTTTAGTTCAGTGTGTTTATTTCAAGTATCATTATTAATAGTTGACAATAACTCAGCGTTACCTTTTATTTTATACACATTATCAAGTCCAGATAACTTCCTGAAAAATATGTACGGGTTTGTTTACAATAGGCTAAAAAAGGCTGTGTGTGTTACCGTAATAAGGTAAATATCGTCAGAGGTTGAAACTGTACATTCTATCTGTGGTGTGTAATTGACCTTGTACTGAGAGATGTCAATTCGAACAGGAGAATCAGGCTAACTTAAGATACATTTGTATAATGAAAGAATATCTTTTATTATTTGTGTAAGGGCAGCATGGTAAATTTACAAAACTTGTAAAACATAACCGATAGTTCACAGGTGTTTACAGTAAAGTTCGCTTGACCGCAACAGTGATGGTTTCTATAATACCAAATAATAAAATCACTTTACAACGTAGAATTTGTTTTACTTACTTTCTGAAATGTTCGTTACAAAGAGGTAAGACAACTCGATGACCGTCTGGTCCCGGTTGCGCAAACTTTGGTTACAGATGTATGCATATTTTCATTGCTGCAGATGTGTTTTGAGACAGACCAGAAAGATGTATTCTGTGGATTCATTTTGCAATGAAAGCCCTTGTTTCTCATTCTCAACAATTCGAATTTTCACTTACCGCTTGTTAAATTTAACTAAAGTTTGAACAAGCGGATCTTGGTATACCCAATGACATTCAGACATACGATAACAGAAAAGTGCATCCAACAGTTTTTGGCTATATTATACTAGCATATTAGTAAACTGTGTATAATAGGTATATATATATATATATATATATATATATATATATATATATATATATTGATTAGACAAGTCCATCACCACCGTCTATAGTACCACGTAGCTAGGGAATATATTACCTGTTTAGACAAAGCTCTCGTCTCGGTTGTATTGTCCAAACAGAGTTCCGTGTTCTATTATATACGATGTAGCTTTGAAAACGTGTTTTCCCCATTTTTGTACTAAATTTTACATGAAGTTGAAATTTCTATACATCCTCAATTTATTCGAAGACAACTGTTGTATTATTTATGTTTCGACTGTTGAGGAATACCACCTTGCATTACAGGCACCGTGTGCATCGTATGCTTCAGGGCAAAGTCAATTAGCCAGTAGTTGCATTGGGTAAAACTTGTGTGTACAATATTTATGAGATTTAACGACGAAAGAGTACGGCAGTGTATGTGTTTAGTTTGTTCACGTTAATATTGATTTAGTAGTAACATAGTTCTGAGGAAGTAATCTTTACAAGATATTCGGGGAGGGCGTAAAACGAACGTGGGGATGTACAGTTTTATTTGCAAGCAGACCGACCCACGCATTCCATTGGAGCAGTCCTTGTAGCTACACCTGTTTTATCCCCACATGTTTTCGGTAGAGTTAATACCGAAGTCCTTACCAACATATATAGTGCTAACTCAGTTTAATCGTGTAAATTAATCCGGTCTTAAACTCATTCTTCTCCCATTGTTACCTGTGATGTTAATACGCTACCTGTGCACATACTATAGGTTAGTCCACTTACCTACCACTAATATCTGGTATTACACCTGGCTATCTTAAGTATGTAAAATACAATAGCCGGTTACTTAGTGTAAATGTATCAATGACTCAAAGAAGCCGCCAACAGTGGGGTAATTACCTACTGGTAGGGTATTACCTACAGGTAGGGTATTACCACATAGTGGTCGCTACGTGTACCTGTATAAAAAAATATACCTTTAAATACATTTATGTGTAAACAAATCCGGACGATTATTACCATGCATCATGTATTGATATACATTCTTAAAATATTACCATTATTATTTTAATATTTCATTATATAAATACAAAGAAAGTATAGTAAGTATTAAATCTTCATTACACAACGATTTGACACAGATAAGACTAGACAGGATGATAATCTGTTAAGTCTATTTCACAAAAGAAAATTAAATTAGGAGGTGTGAAAGGCGTACCTTCCAAGCGCCATGTTTGTTTACTGTAGGATGTTTTTACATATCCTCATATGTAGAGTAATATTAGTTGAATTAAAGGTTAATATCAATTATCGTTAAAAATATACCCCCTCTCCCGCTTACTCACATATGTACATGTGCACGTGTAATACATGTGTATGTGCTGAACCATCATCAGGATTGCATTTTAACCGAGTGTTGATCTTAACTTTTAATCCGTCTTAAATTACTCTTCATATAAGGATACGTCCGAATATACATTTAAAATATAATTTTACGATTTGTCGGTGCACAAAATAAATGATGAGATCACAAATGAAAAAATAACCACCGTGATAATATGCTTCGGTTAACGCCCATAAAATAAAATTGGAAATATGAGAAGTCACTCAGAGTTTATTAATAATGCAGAAATGTACGGAGGAAATATCAAATGCAGCATTTTCTATCGGTAAATGGTCACATGTTTATAAACGTTTCGTTAAGGGGCAGGTACGTACATCCAAACTCACCACAGAAGTTCATTTAAGACTTTCGTTACTAAATGTAGTTACAATTGACGGCCAAATGTCGAACCATTTCTCTTCATCACTATATAATTATTACATCACAAGTTACATTACAGACGCACATTGTATTTACACTTATGTAGGTTTTACGCCACTATTGAACATAAACAACATACGGATCAGCAAACAGCTGTCCATTCATACCAATGAACTAAATAGAGGTAAAGGATAGATGTTAAAAAATATGCATAATACTCCAATGTTATCAAAGAGATGTGTCCCATTTCGGAATATATCGGAGAAATCTTCCGGATTTTGCCTATTCAGATCTATACGCGTGTCACAGTGGAATTGAATGATATTGTGTTCTAAATCGAGAGTGTAATATTCACGAATGGCAATGTTTTGATAACGTTCGATGTGCTCTTAATATAAACTTTATTTATTTAACAACAATTATGAAACAAGTTATTTCATCTTATATTAATCACTCTTGTGGGGGGCGGGGGTGTCTTAGTGTGGGAGGAAACCGGAGTACCCGGAGAAAACCCACTTTTTCACGTCCGATCGGGGAATCGAACCCCGGCCGCCTTGGTGAATGGCAAGTGCGCTATCCACTTCGCCACCCGGCCACCCGACCACTGTGCTCTTATATGTTAGATTCGGTACTTGATATATATTACAGTAATTCGTGAGAAGAGACGGACTCATCAAATCTTTTTTGTGAACATCTTGAGTGTTAGATAAATGGTAGCTCTCACTGGTCGCCATGGTTCTCCGCCTCTGTACTTGGTCAAACATGGCTTTACAACGAGCGTTATGATTAGTTGAATCTAAACTACAATGTTGTCGTTCCTGTTTCTAGTGATTGTTTTACGACAGCACGTGATTGGCTCTGCTCGTGGGCTGCCAGTACCCGAGGATGGCACTGATCTTGTAGTAGAAATTAATTCTGGCACGTTTTTCATGAAATACTAACTTAAGCATAAATTATCTTTTGTTTTCAGCCAAAGTTGTAAACCTGTAACGTTATTCGTGGTTTTATAGCCATTATATATAGTCTCCGTTTACCATTATCTGGACACACGGGTTTAGAACTGGACGAAATGACCATATATTTGTTTGGCGTTCCGTATCAGCTTGCTTATTTATTTGAATGTGTGCTTCCTTACGTGTATTTCTAGTGATAACTTTACCGATGAAGATTTGAGTAATCAGAAAGTTTGTTTCATAGACGTTTTTGAACCAGAACAGAGAAAGAAACATGGTGCTCTTTGAGGATTAGATAGCCTTTGAAAGTAAATCAACAACGCACAAGAATCATCAAAAACAAAAAGGAAAACGAAGGTATCAGAACACCCTGAACGTTGATAAGGTGAACATTTTTTTCCAAAGCACTTAAAACTTAAAATTGATTAAGAAACAGGTAGGTATATCATTCGACCATGTAACTTGTAGTTGTCGAACTAAGTAAAACCAGAAAGATTTGACAGATTAACTCATTTATCTGATAAAGTTGAAGTGCCATATATGGTTTTGATTATCTGTCCTGCATTGCATAAGTACCTGTATGTGAAGCCATTTATATATATATGATAGGACTATCAATAATATTGATAAATATTTAAATATTTTTCAAATATTATTATAAAAATATTATTGATAAATATTTAAATATTTTTTTAATATTTAAATATTTTATTTATATATATTTCAATCCGCCTGAAGAAGCCCTAGAAGGCAGAAAGGCCTAGCGGACGATCTGAAAAAATTGTTTTTATTCTATATTTTCCTTCGCAAGGACTTATTTATTTATTATCTACTATATATATATATATATTGACCATTTTAGAATAGGCTTCATATTGTACGGGTGGACATGGGATTGNCAATACAATACGGGTTTATCACAATGGCCTCAGTACTGTCTACAAATCGATCGGAGAGTGTTTTATGAGGAACTGGGCGTTCAATCGACCATATTAAAATTTGACTTTCTGGAGAAAACGAGGTTACATATAACTAACAAAGTAAATAAATCTCCAATGGTTAATTTGGAGATAACCGTGACAAACTTGAATAGGTACATATTGTTTTCGAGGTTCGTTTGTGGTTCCAAGTATCGAAGCGATGTCTCGATTAGCGTTGAGTCGTTGTTTCGACTTTTTTTTATTGATAGTCCTATCAATATTTCGGTGTTTTTCGCGTATTATTCATTATTCCTCTCCGAAATACTGATACTTCGCCCTTTCGTTGATTCCTTCATCAGCCTCAAAATAACGATGAATTCAAAGACAAAATAATACCAAACAAAGTCACAAAAATAACGAAAATTAGGTGCTATTCTATCCCAAAATCGATCCTAAACGATATAACGAATTATAAAGGAAAGGACAGAAATCAACTATCAATAAAGCAATATGTACCGATGTAGTCTTATAAAGTATCACATTTTTGGAAATGGACTAAATAAACTAATGACTTATCAATTTGTTTCCCAGAGTTCAGGTTGAGTTGCGTATCTCTATTCCGTCTTTGCGTATTGCAGAGTTATCTTCACTTGGGAGCAGGGATTGATTGTTACGTCATTGGTTTGTGCGAGAAAACTACGTCGTTTTCTCAAAAACTGATGACGTTACTATCACAAACAAGTGACGTAACAATCAATACCTGCTCCCAAGAGAAGATAACTCTGCAATACGCAAAGACGGAATAGCTCTACCTATAGCAGTGTTCAAAGTCCAGCTGCTCGGATAGCAATGTAGGCAAAACCAGAAAGATTTGATAGATTAACGTCGGAAAGGAAACTCATCTATCCGACTAAAGTTGAAGTGACATATATGGCTTTGATTATCTGTCCGTCAGTTGCACAATTTAATGTTGATAAGCCATTTCTTAGTTACATAATAATAGTAATAGTAATAATTCGAGGTTCTTATATACCGCTTTATCACAAACTAGTTCGTAGGTCGTCTCAAAGCGGTTCACAAATTATTACCCGTGGTTATAGAGTCTTTTGCAACCAGCCAATATCTTCTAAACTCCATGGGGAGCGTACAGCCGGTGCTGCCATTTCGGCGCTCAAAGCTAGCATTCTACAACCCTTCACCCTTCGGTCTCGAGCCCGGCGTCTTACCACTAGACTGCCGTGCCTCCTAAAGCAAGGCGGTACATGACGGTCAGCCTAATGCGGCAACTAGGCTGACCGAAGTAATTCCTCCTCATGAAGACGAGCACATTCAGTGCGAGCATCACACCGCTCCTATGCGTTCATTCTACACGAGTACACGAAAACATTGCATTCGATATCTCTTTCCATCGATCTATTTTTTCTGGCAGACACCAACGTCCAACCTTGCTGTCGTCGAAACATGTCACTGAAATATATCACGTGATCATGACACCACGTGTGGCTAGTTTTAAAATAGATTATTTATTTTGAGGGTTACAAAAATGTAATAAAAATGACAATTGATTGAAAATCTATAGTATCCTTTTTAAACACCAATCTGGTTCAATTTTTGACAGATTCAAAAATAGACTTTTTTGACCGTATAGATACAGTATCTCGAGAAGATTTGTCTTTTAAATGCACAGACATTAATATCATACCAGTAAGACATTAGCACGGGTTAGATGTGGGATTCTATGGACATCATAATAGTGTATCTTTCACTTAGTGTTGTACCGACATTTTTTCATATTCCAAATTATGAGGCATTGATGGTAACTGCATTGATAGGGATGGGGAGGGACTAAATGTGCAGAACCTGCACGGATAACAGTTACTTTTCATGCTTTCTATATTATTGTAATTATCACAGTAACAGACAGACGCTACTAATCCTCATTGTCAGTAAGGAGGATCAGCGGTGTGTTTACAGTCGGAACACAGTGTTTTGCACACAACAACTATTTATTACAAAACTTCACAACCCAACGTAACAAATAAAAGACAGAGAGTATTGATTTGCAAATTTTGGTCAGAATCCATTTTATCACGAATGATAATGCTTTATAATCACACAAAAAAATAAACGAATATATGCTGAGAAAATTTCAAGATTTTCAACATGAAGCGTTTTATGATGACATCTGCCTTGTTTAGGGGCCCGGAAGTCAAGTTGCCCGGATGTCCACTACCTGCCGCTTTCTGTCGCTGGCTGTTGTTGTTCATTATTATCAAGGTTCAGTCCACTGTTAAACATGGATATGTCCAGATTCTTTTTCGTGCAGTAATACTCGAACGTGACGGTGGACGTCCCTTCTTTTTCCTGGGCTTTACACATTCTCCCTTCAGGACAGTTACACACCTAAAAAGGGAAACAATGACGTACATTTTCAAAAACCTGATATCTCATTTGTATTTACATTTCTCCAATATTATTTCAACGTCATGTTTCAACAAAACATGCTTCATTGCTTAGTCCTCACTCAACAACCTCGTTCACATTTCATCACTCCACAACGTCTTTCTCATTTCATCACCCCACAACCTCGTTCTCATTTTATCACTCCACAACTTCGTTCTTATTTCATCACTTCACAACCTCGTTGTCATTTTATCACTTCACAACCTAGTTCTCATTTCATAACCTTGCACTGTCTTTATAATCTAGGCCAACTTCATGACTTAGTAAGATGTGCTCACTTTTTAGCCTAGTCCCCACTTCCTTCCTTCAGCTGACGTCATCACATAGACCTGATACCATTACATAGACCTGACATCATTACCTAGACGTGGCATCATTACCTTGACCTGACATCATTACCTAGACGTGGCATCATTACCTAGACCTGGCATCATTACCTAGATCTGACATCATTACCTAGACTTGACATCATTACCTATACCTGACATCATTACCTAGAGCTGACATCATTACTCAGACCTGGCATCATTACCTAGATCTGATGCAATAACCTAGATCTGACATCATTACTCTGACCTGGCATCATTACCTAGACCTGGCATCATTACCCAAACCTGACATCATTACCTAGATCTGACATCGTTACCTAGACTTGACATCATTACCTAGATCTGATGCAATAACCTAGATCTGACATCATTACCTTGACCTGACATCATTACCTAGACCTGGCATCATTACCCAAACCTGACATCATTACATTGACCTGACATCATTACCTAGAGCAGACATCATTACCTAGACCTGACATCATTACCTAGACCTGACATCATTACCTAGACCTGACATCATTACCTACACCTGACATCATTATCTAGACCTGACATCGTTTCCTAGACCTGGCATCATTACCCAGACGTGACATCATTATCTAGACCTGACATCATTATTTAGACCTGACATCATTACATATACCTGACATCATTACCTAGAGCAGACATCATTACATATACCTGGCATCATTACATTGACCTGACATTATTACCTAGAGCTGACATCATTACCTAGACATGACATCATTACCTAGACCTGACATCATTACATAGACCTGACATCATTACCTAGAGCTGACATCATTACCTAGACCTGCCATCATTACCTACACCTGATATCATTACCTAGACCTGACATCATTACCTAGACCTGACATCATTACCTAGACCTGACATCATTACCTACAACTGACATCATTACCTAGACCTGACATCATTATCTAGACCTGACATCATTACTTAGACCTGACATCATTACCTAGAGCTGACATCATTACCTAGAGCTTATAACATTACCTAGACCTGACATCATTATCCTAGACCTGACATTATTTCCTAGACCTGACATCAATTCATACACCTGGCATCATTACCTAAACATGACTTCATACTGGGATATCCGGTTATCACTTTATTTGTGGACTAGTAGACACCTTTTGATGTAGTTTGTGTTTATATTGCCTATATATAGTTGTTTATAATGCCCATCTGAAAGCAGTTCGGTGTATATATAAACAGTTTACAAACATAATATGTTACCAGGTACCCTGCTGTAAAATCCGAACAACAACATTCTTCCCTAACTAACTAAATGAGTAATGAATATAAAAAAATGTGTAATACCACAAATACCATATAAGAAATTCTTGATTTATCATAAACTAAACTATGAATTAGAGAATATTACATGTAAGCAAGAAGAACACAGAATAAGAATGTTAATCGCGTAAAGGTAAATATTGACTTCAATACGTTACGTGTGAGATTATTAAAATACAATAGCTGATACATCTTTATTTTTACTTGATGCAAAAGTTTGTGCATAGGTATTGTGTTCTATGTATGTAAAGTTGAAATATTTTAATATTTATAGAAAGAACCATCCAAAAGAGGTTTAGAAGTTATCTCCCTTTGTTTGTTTCTATGTATTTGAGCGAAATCTTTGATTTGTTTAATTTTTATGCCACTTATTTTTAGCAAAAACAAATGATGATGATGATGATGATGATGATAGTGATGATGATGATACCGTTTTCCCTATTATTACCATTATTAACTCTGTATTTTGACTTACCATGTCGGTACTATGGTCTACATTAGCGGCTACGTTGTCACATTTCAGACATCGAACCAAATTACGTTTGTTATCCAAAAGGATTTCACCGTCTTTCCCTTTACACTGGAAATATAATTCATACATAAGCATATATTATATGATATGTAATTACGTAATATATTAATATATAATTATATCAATAAATAAATAAAAGCCCACTGTGCCTCGAATTATTCATACAACAACTCGCACTTGCCATCGATAGCGAGGTATGTTTTCGATAATAAAATATTGATTGTAATTCCGCTGTCTTTCAACTTTCAGTCATACCCATGACGTCAGAACAGCAGGTTCATTAATTGATTCCAAAGAGGTAAAGTAGACGACAGATTCAAAATAAAAATGTTCTGTAAAAAGATATATTTTTGAGAAAGGAACATTAAGGATTTACCAAACTCTCCTCTGCGTACTTAAAAAATTCCACTGATTCTACTTCTAAAGCATACGCTGTCACAAAACGTCTTTTGCCCTAATATAATGGCACAGAATAATGGTAAAAAGTTTGAATGGTGGCTTAGTTAAGAAGTTAGCAGAGCAGGCAATACAACGTTGTTAATGAGGATTCTGGTTTCGAAATCCAATACAAAGGAGACGTAGCCATATCGGTATCATACACCGGTACTCGAGAAATTGTTATATAGAAGCATGATTTAATAGTATAACGTCTTTCGAAATTGCATTCGTAGGTTTTTGTTTTTTGGTTATCAAGCAGGCTCAGTAATGTTTTCAAACAAGAAATGTAAAGTTGTGAAGAAAAAATAGTTTTCTACTGGCACGTATCTATCATGCAGATCGCTGATTTTGTTTTGGACATCGGGGTCAGGAAATACAGAAGACACAAATCACACAACAATGTGTTAGATCACTCCAAATTGTTAAAACTGTAGCACTAATTCTCTACTCTCACGTGTTCGTTAAACGACAAAGAAGGAGAAGTTAATCTCATAAATAGCTCCACAATGTACCCTGGCGTTTTATCTTGGCTTAGATGTGCTATGACATCATTATATAATTAATTACAGTGAGTATGTTTTAGGAATAACTTTATATATAAGTTTGTATACATTGACATAGCACAAGGCCAAGTCACCATGCTGGTGCGATTCCAGACTGCGGTACACGATACATCTTTGGTTTGTACACATGTTTGGTCATTGTCATTCCAGCTGTGTCGTAAACATTGATTTACTTTCAAGATATCTTTTAAAAAGGCAACATTCCTGGAGTTTCATAAACGTCATTCATATGGACACGAATTAACTGTCCTTTCACATAAGTTCATACACAATAATATGACACGAGTGTGGTCGCTGAATAACACAAAATGCATGATAAAATCGAAACTTGAAGTCGATTACAACAAGACAAAACAGAAGAGGTTGCAAAACAAAGTAGAATACGTTTATTTTCAGCTCAAAATTGGTAAAGGTAGGGCTAATTATTAACAAGGAGGCGTTAGAAAAAGTTCAAGAATAATAAAACAAGGTGTTTCGGGTTTCGAAATGGTAAGCGTTTTCAGCTTTATCGATGACGCCCCACCTTTTAACTTTGCACTCTAGGTTGAAACGTAAAGTAACGTCTTCAAAGCAAGAGCCGATGTTGTTACCAAGGACAACCGATGAAGACAGATGAGCTGGGTTGTGACTAAGAACGACCAATGGAGACAGATGAGCTGAGGTTGTGACCAAGAACCACCAATGGAGACAGATGAGCTGGGTTGTGACCAAGAACGGCCAATGGAGACAGATGAGCCGAGGTTGTGACCGAGAACGACCAATGGAGACAGATGAGTTGAGATTGTGACCAAGAACGACCAATGGAGACATATGAGCTGGGTTGTGACTAAGAACGACCAATGGAGCCAGATGAGCTGAGGTTGTGACCAAGAACCCCCAATGGAGACAGATGAGCTGGGTTGTGACTAAGAACGCCCAATGGAGACAGATGAGCTGGGGTTGTGACCAAGAACGACCATTGGAGAAAGATGAGCTAAGATTGTGACCAAGAACGACCAATGGAGACAGATGAACTGGGGTTGTGACCAAGAACGACCATTGGAGACAGATGAGCTAAGATTGTGACCAAGAACGACTAATGGAGACAGATGAGCTGACATTGTGACCAAGAACGACCAATAGAGACAGATGAGCCGAGGTTGTGACCGAGAACGACCAATGGAGACAGATGAGCTGAGATTGTGACCAAGAACGACCAATGGAGACAGATGAGCTGGGTTGTGACTAAGAACGACCAATGGAGACAGATGAGCCGAGGTTGTGACCGAGAACGACAAATGGAGACAGACGAGTATAGTACAAAACGTGGACCTTTATATCACACAAGGAAGCAGCATATTTCTCAACGAGATCATGACAGATACCATAAAATCTGCCCAAAGTCGTTATCGACCTGTATCTGTAAAATAAAAAATCTCCTACCTTAATACAAAGTATCTTTATTTGTTCAACTGTGACCGAACATCTGAATTTATGTAGAGTACGAACAAACTCTATAACAAATGTATTGTTGATGTATGACCATACGGTTCTCATCAAAAGTTATTATTCACGTTTGAACTTTTGTCATAAGTCTCTGACAAAAGGCGGTCACAGCATTATTGAATAAAGGATGACGATATAAATCAATATTATGCAACGTATGAGATACATGTCATCATAATGTGTTCTTTTGAACAGCTTGTCATTTTTTTTAAAGGTTTGATACAGCTGAAAGTTTCGTGTTTCCAGGCATAGTTGCGACCGTGGTTGTTACATTAGACAATGATATATACACTCTGTAGGAGAACATCTGTTACGGAGGCCGAAGTGTCGTCATTAACTATCATGTCGCGTACGGACAGGACGTGTTTTAAATCAAATTATGATCTAATGTATCAATATCGAAATCTTACACTCAAACTGCATATTTCTACGTAGAAACACACATCATCATCATCATCATCTTCCCTGACAGAAGCTGACTCTAACGGATGTAACATATGTGGACGGACTAGACGTGTTTTGGATTAAATTATGATCTAATGTATTAAAATAGAAATCTTACACTCAGACTGCATATTTCTACTTATGAACACTTATTTTTGTATAATGTTAAAATAGATTTAGGAAACAGATTGACGTTAAGAATAATAAACACTTTGTAAGAACAACACCCCTGCAGGTGGGGGATCCGGACAAGAAAACACCTGTTTTTACCCACCGCATGTATCGTAGGAGGCGACTTATGTGGGAACCCCTTGCAGAATCGGGGATTTGCTTTGACGTCCTCTATTATATAATAAATCGGCTGCACCCATTGCGATATTTGGGATGCTAACTTTCTTTCTACTTCTAACTATCTTTTATTTCCTAGCACCTTGTTTAGCAACACCTCACTTTTGGCCTTAATATTGAGCGTTCGCCAGGGTGGGAAAGGCAATAGGTTCTGTTCCCAGGCCAGGACATACCAAAGTCCTTAAAAATGGTAGTTGTTATTCCCTACTTAACGTTCAGTATTTAGGGGAATGGCAACAATTGGTTCACCCATTGTCAGTATAATGTGACCGGGCGGAATGCTGTGCTGAGTTCCTTCGGTATGGTATTTCAGTGAGATAGCAATATATAGTCGGCATCAGATCCGCGCTACCACAAGGAGACAAGCTCACCAACATATCCTGTCTCCTGCATACACACAAGCAAGCACGCATACACTACACACATGGAGGCACGTCCTTACATGACCTCGGCTGTAAATAGGACGTTCAAAAAATAAACCAAACAAAATCGTAAGAACAAAGTTTGGTCGTTATGAAAATATTCTAAATACTCACTAAATATATAGCTGTGTTCCTATTCTTTTTATCCGCTTATATTTTCTATGTCTAATATGTTGAAAAATGCTGGTAATGTATACAGAATTGATTTGAAGAATTTGTCTTAATAGGGATCCCCATACCACTGCCAGGAACTGTAACTATCAATTAGAACCTTATTACAGGTACAAATGTATGACCAAAGCTTTAATAAATATTTGTCTGAAAAAATACCTGAACCTTCCGGAACATTGACGAAAATGTGATAACAATGGAACTTAAAAAAAAAGAAAATCAAGAGCAGTGTTCTGAGAGTATAAATGCATGGATCTGCAAGGATTAACCACGATTGAAGTGGAAAATTTATCTTCACCTACAGGTAGACGGATAGCGATTATTGTGAATGACAGTCGCCAAGGTAAATAACGATCAATTGTGATATGTTATGCAACAAGATATTACAATGTTATAATATTACTCGCCTGTTTTTCCTGTATGCAAACCGTTTGGATGTACAGTGAGAAGCTCAACAAAATGAACATATATTCACTAAACAGAAAAAATGATATGACATCAAAAAATTGAAAGTAACTGAATTCATGGGCACAGAGGAATGCTACTAGAAATTGTCTGTATTCAAAATAGTATTTAGGTAATTAAGATCTTCATGATCTGCATGATCTATCCGTTATGTGTATACTGACACCTGACTCATATACATTGGTGTATATTTCATTCGTTTTACCGTCGTAATAAATCACACCTGTTTATAATCACGAATCATTCATGTAAACCGATAGATGGGGGTATTTCGTTCATAAAGTCAATACTATATGTCTATTGTGTAGTGAAAAATGGACACAGATATTGAGATATTAATTTATTTTGGAACAAACCAAAACACGTATAAATAAATACATGTTCATGTCTATGAAGATTGTGTAAGCTTAATATCAAACTCCATGTCAAATGTAACTACTTTCACAATCAGTAACTCCCCATTCTACAGTAGTGATAACCATATACAGAGGATGAGCTAGCCTCTATACTTCGATTGTATAACTTTAAAGTAAAAAAAGTGTTTGCGGAAATGTTCGCGTTTTGATTCTTTAAACAAATAGCATTGCGGATTTTTGTTCACGGTTTGGATGACTCTAAAGTCTTCATATATATATATATCTTTGATCTTTATAGATGAAATTTATCAATATATTTCATGTTCACATGTGGATATTTTCAATATTACGTTGATTAGCATTTTTCGCGTTGAGTAAACTAGCGCAAAAATATCCACATGCGGATACGAAATATATTAATAAATTTCATGTATAAAGATTAAACACATAATTGCATTAGAAGTATCAATATCATCATAATGATATAAGGTCAACATAGTATTCAAAGCGCAGAGAATGTAAACACATTATTGTAATAGAAGTATTAATATCATCATAATGATATAAGGTCAACATAATATTCAAAGCGCAGAGAATGTAAACACATTATTGTAATAGAAGTTTTAATATCATCATAATAATATATTTACATTCTGTATGCTTAGACTCATTGACAAAAATTACATTCATAAATGTATAACACAGGTGTTCAAAGAATCTCAGCACGTGGGAACTGATAGTAACCTGATCACACTGCGTAATAATATACTACAAAAACAACTCACTCGGAACGACCGACCTAGATGCTAAATTCTTACATCTTAAAATATTATTGAACTGTGCTTGGTGAAATATCCACGTATTCACGTGTCCTGTGCTACAAATAAACATTGAATATGGAACTACATTTTGTTGTGTTATTGTTGTTGACGGTTGCTAAGATCTCTCACGATAGTGTCACATTTCCCCGCGAAAAAACACTGTTCTCGCCACTGCGTTGCACCCGTGTATAAGCAGGAACAAACCCTGTTTATTTGTTTTATTCGTTGTTATATCGATCCACTGAAAGGATTCGTCAATGTAAATATAAGGAATGATATTTATTTTTTCAACATTTATGAGGTCATAACAACAATGGGTTTTTGGACATATTTTACATGAATCGCTAACGCGATTCATTCAATATGTCCATAAACCCATTGTTGTTATGACCTCATAAATGTTGAAAAAATAAAAATCATTCCTTAAATGAAAATCGCTAGTTATAGCTGATGATGTTAACACATTATGATCATAGAAGTCTCAATATCATCATAATGATATAAATATAAAACTAGTTATGACAAGGTCAACATAATATAAATAGCGCTGAGTGTGTTATACATTATTGTTATAGAATTATCTATATCATCATAATTATATAAATATCACTAGTTATAAAAATGTAAACATAATATCTATAGCGCTGAGAATGTTAACACATTATAACAATAGAAGTATCAATATCATCATAATAACATAAATATCACTAGTTATAACAATGTTAACATAATGTTAATAGAGCTGAGGATGTAGAAAAAGAAAATCTAAAATAGCAGAATACTATAAAAATGTACACTAAATAGTTGATGTTTGTTCTCATAAATGCTAAGGGTTCATCAATTCCTGATCATAATTAACTGTTTTGATAATGTCCTGGTTATTGATTTCACTGAAGGAGCATGACGTCATACCGTCTTTATTTAACTTCAGGCTATAGAGAAACACAACACTCGGATAGTCAGATAAATATCATCAACACACATATTCGATGAAGCTCATAGGTTTTACTTGAGAATTCATTCACTGGAAAGGATCCTACAGTAATTAATTGTCCCTCGTCTGATATTTCCGTAAGATACGACAATGTGATAAGAGATAGAGGTACAATACATTGACACAGCATATTGATGATCACGTGGTCAGGGAGAGGGAGACTTGTCATTTCTATTGTGCTGTTATAATTGGATTGTAACAGATTTCATTCAGAAAATAGAAATCCTATAACAATATATATAATATCGTGATTATGCATCATATGACCACAATGTGTTAATGTATTTATTTGTTGTAGACAATTAAAAATATTGAACCTTTTCTAAGGAATCAAAACCAGGTCAGGAATGCTGTCTCTGTCATCGTTTTTAAATACACAACACATATAATATGTAAACAATAAAAAGCACTCGCATAAAAATCTGGGAAATTACTTGCCCTTTTCGACACACACAATACATGTAAAAACAACATTTTGAATGCCTGCTAACTTTAGAAAAAGATATAAACTCATAACGAAATAAAGGTAATTGTCGCGCGAGTGAGGCCATATAGCAACGGTTACAGCGTTTCGCCTTCCGCTTTTTTAATTACCCATCAAATACATCTGGTCCTGTGTGCTTAAAACCTATCTCACACTCAAGCATGGATTCTGTGCTCAAACAAACTTTCCTGTAACTCATTAAGCCAACCGATATTGTAAAAAAAGAGTCATGTGTTTACCACGAAAACGATATTCTGCTCATGTCTCTCCCGAATTCTTCCAAATCATTGTCAAAATGTAAAATATTATTTATTTATCACTGGTTTAAGAAATTGGGCTTCAGCAATACCTGAGTTTGAGCTAAGAATGGTTTAATGAATACGGACCCTGTTTTGTGAACGTATGCTGTATTATAACAATTTTGTCTTTTGTAAAAGTAACATTTTACAGAAAAACATCACATTATTTTCACAGTCATTGTTATGATGGGAGAGTAGGCAAACATTGTTCAAACCAAAGTCGTGGTAAGGACCATTGGTGCATATTTTGCAAACATTGGTATGATGGGGGACGGTAGTTGAACAGTTAACGTTCTTATTATTGTAATGATTGAGACAGAGTATTAATTGTATGTGCTTTTTTTGATGTTATATCATATGACATCAAGCTGATATCAGCGTACAGTGAAGTAAGTACAGCCCTATTGTAGTGACACATGCTACAACTAACGTATGACGTAGCAGTATTATATATATAATTATGTTTAATTATTATGTTATAGAATGCTGGGGTGATTACCGTCTCGTAACTACTGTAATTTACTTATCTGAAATTTAGATCAGAGTTTACCGATGCATCGTATTAAGATATACATGTAAAGCGTTTGAATACAAAGATGAAGATAAAAATAAGTTGCTATTTTTGTACAGAACATTTGACTCTGCACTTCCATACCTCATGCCAAACGGAAAGAACTCCTGTATCCTCTTATTATGAGAGCATTTCTTTACAAGAAATGCGATAGGCAAGTTAAAATTGTGAGAATGATTAAGTTCCTGGTTGGCAATATCTTTTTGGAGTTCGGTTGAATGCGTTTCCACCAGGCGGTTGCTTTCCATTTAAGCAAACTTTGCCTTACTCCAAGCCGACTTACTTTTTTTTTAACAAGAAGCTGAATTTAATGAACAGCCTATCGGGACTTGTAACAAAAACCTTGTCTACATTTTCACTTTCAGATAAATTGGCAATACGTTGTCTATAAACAAAAGGACATTAACCGACTCGAAATTATACATCCTCCTGAACGTGAAGTTAAGAACATTACGGATTTGTTTTATCAACCGCTTACCTCGATCTGGCAACATGACCAACAGGGACGGTTCACTGTTTGACAAATGTTATTATTTAGATTGAGTTTTCCTTTCTTGATAGTAACATCCAAGCTTTCGACTCCTTCAATGTGTACATACCGCAGTTGATTCGATCGGCACCCAAGGGTTTGTTTTGAATATCATGATTTCCGAGAAAGATGTCGACGACCGACGGAAAAACGTGTACGACGACACAAGTTTTCGTGAGATACAGGTTGTTTAAGACTAAGGACAAGTTTGAAAGTCACCATCGTCGTCATTTTGGGAAATATCTCATTTCCTTGTGCGATATGAAGGTATATGGTTTTGATGATACAAATTAGTTTACCTTGTGGCATAGTTGTCACTTCCACAGTTAACAATCGAGAACGGTTTTAATATCTTTATAAACCGCCACTAAATGGTGCTAGAAATATCAAATAAAATGTTAAGCATAAGACGACAGGCACAACAAATCGGAATAATGTTATCAGTCTGTAGTTTTACTATTCAGTGAATTCCACAGTCTACGACTTGAAGCAAAATAGACGAATTAATTAGAGTCGGAATAACGTTTTCCTATAATGACTACTGTGTCTAAGAGGATAACGGCAATTTTAAGCTGAAGTAGGAGGAAAGAGAGAAGCGCGGAAATCGTGTGTACGATCATCGCGTATCTTATGTAATAGTTGAACATTTATCCTTTTATTTTTTCTTGAAATTGTTTCTAATCCCATTTGAAAGTATGAAAATCCTAAAGTGGCACACGAAATAAATATTAGTAACAATACGTGCAGCTTCTCGGTGATTTTCCTGTTTTTCTTTCTTTCTTTTGTATTTTCGGAATCATATATTATATACCGGTACTAGTACCGTTAAGATAATAATTTATTTTCTAACAGAGCATCTCGCTTTCTCTTAAGTTTTCCTTCGAAAATGATCTTCTTCATATCTCTTTTACATCTTTCGCAAAAAAATCAAATTTACTTTATGTGTCTGGATTTAAAAAAAATGGAATTACCCGGAAACCCTGTTTAGGTACATGTAGTTTGAAATAATACTTTTAAAAAACAGGACACAAGAAAACATAACTCTACTACATAACATGCCTGGTTAAAATACATTGTAATTACGTTACTGTGACTGTAATACTCAACAACATCTAACCATTAAATTAAGTCGCTTACAACTTTATATAAAAAGGACTCACAGTTGAGGCATTTTCACCCGGATCCGTCTCAACAGAGTCGCTTCCAAGGACAAATGGTACAAACAGGAGGACGAAGAGGAGGGCGAAGTAGCGCATGGTCTCCATGACGACCGGGAGGGGATGCTGACTACGTGAGTGTCGGATGGACTCTCCTCGATCACTGGACCCACGTTACACCTGTCACGGGGACTTGATGGGATTTATATTTACCACAGGCGGAGAAATCAGCCGTAAGTCAACACGCCGTACATCCCTCGTATAGATCTAGGGGAGTAGTCAACAGATGGTACAGCCCAGCTATTATAATGCGTGTGTATATATTTGTGTCTATTATATTAGCAAGGGAGCCTCGGAGATCTCAAGCTATCAAATGCATTCAAACGTTTGTCTTGTTTTCTTTATTTATTATCATTATTAAGTACCGTTGCAACGTTAGGGACCAGATGTTTTCAATTCATTGGAAAAAGATGCTCTGAACATATCTGTTGTTACTGAGTCCGGACACACACGCAGGTGTACATCTATATCTTCTACATGTCATCTTACAGATTACAAATAATTAGTATAATAGCGATCAGTTTACAAAGAACATAAAAACGCTAGTTATATCAAGAATTACGGTCTAGGTCTGGTGATGGAATTTTTCTTATGGTAAGGAAAATGTAGAACATTTTTCTTAATAGGCTATCATGGAACTTATTTGGGTAACTGGACTATCTGCTATACCTGCTTTTGAGGCGGCGATGATTGACTATTTATCACAAAACTATTTATCACGGTATTTTGATAAAATTGATACCTTATATACTATTAGATGCGACATTAATTTCAATTAAGAACAAAATAAAGTTTATATCAACACTTAATACAGAACTAATTCTATGAATCCTCTAGATTTGACTAGACTCTTTTTCGCGTTATTCATTCACTTCCCTGACGCCCGTTGATCAACCCGAATTGCAAGCCGTTTGGATGATGTAATGCATACAATTATATCTAATATCTTATAACATGTAACTAAATTACATGTATATAAGACATTTAAAAAAAAAGTAAAATATCTTTTATATTATATATGACATCTTATTTACTTTTTGAATATCTCATATATGTAACTATCCATATGATAGCTTGTATGTTATATTAGATGTGTCATATCCGTATAAGATATCTATATAACCACGGACTTAGATAACATCTAATCTAATTCCGTAATATAACATATAAGATAATTCGTTAAGAATTTAAGAGATATCATATCTTTTCTGAAATATATTATGCATTATAAATGGTACAAAATATATATCTCATAAGCGTGTTTTATAAACATATAAAAAAAAATCATATAATTTTGTGAAATACAGATCTAGAACAGACCGTGCCCTGAATTGATGATTGCTCGGCTTACCTTAAACCCATCTTTCTGTTACATTGTACACTGTAGCATACAACCATTAGCGTATCAAATTTATAACATTTAAGAAACATATGTCTACATTTCTTGTTAATTTTTAGTATTGTGGCGAGGACTAAACTTGGTAAAATCTGTTGTTGATGTCCAGTCATTTTGTTTATTCTGAACAACTAATATATTTCATGTTGTAACAGACACTGTGACGTCAAGAACCGAAAACGAACTTCTAGCACACAAATCAAAGTAGTTTTATGTTTACATTCCCTTGATGTTCACATAATAATGGGATATAAAGGTTAAATGATATTTGCGTATTTTTATTTGAAGTATTCTTTATAGGTTTTCCTGCAAATTACACTGTAGGTAATTTTTATTAATCTTCAACTGAGGTTTAAACCGTTTTTGAAGTGCACTGTTTGCGGCTGGGGTCGTTGGTGTTTCAGGATCAAATATTTCACCAAAGAGCTTATAGTTAGGTCACGTTTTCATTGGGAAGAGGTTTTTAAATTGTAAATGTGTTATTTATTATCTGCTAGTATGCACCATCAAGCGGCTTGCATGCAGGTATTACACTGTACACTTTATGATCGTAAATGCGGCTGTTGTGAAGTCACCTGCAGAATAGGTATTTGTTGTGCTCTTGAGACATTGCAAATAAATGTCCACATAATTATAATGTAATAGTTCCAGGGTGTCTTTCTGCGTCTTCTGTACTCACTCATCAATCTTCTCGTCTAATTTAGTCGTTCAATTGTCTGTTGACACCTCCTATACTTCCGGTTCGTTCTGTTTTACAGTCTACATACAGTACTTCTAATGTGTCTGTCTACACGACTTGACGTCAAGTGTCTCTGTAAGTCTTTGGTACTTTCGATATATCGCTCTACAATGTACAATTTGTAGTTCAAGTGTCCCTTTCTAAACTTCTGTACTACCGAAATTGCTTTCTATGAAACACATCTTGCACTTCCGGTTTTTCGTGCCGCACATTAAAATTATATAATTATCTATTTCTATACCGTCCATATTTCGGGTAAGTCTTTTTGTACATTAAGTACTGACGTTGTCTGTTTTAACAGTTCGGTAATTTCATGATGACCCTTTATTTCGGGTATCTTTTTACATCTTTCGTGCTTCTGGCGTAGGATTTCTGTACACACAGGACTTTCGTTGTCTGTTTGTTTGAGTGGTTCGGTTACATTTACCCTGCAGACGAAATTTAGTTCATTACTGACGTTGTATGACCTTATTTTGAGGTCACTACCTTAAAATATAATAAAACATTTGATGAGACAGAATATATTTGACTGTGGTAATATTTCTGTCGTAAATCTTTGTTTTTGATAAATACGCCCATCTTATACTGTTATAGCGCAATGATTCATAATTCCGAAGCAATTAAGATACCCTCCAGCTGGCGTAAGAGTATACGAGACGTGGATTTCCAAAGTATTAAGTTGTCAATCTCAATGTTTGTGCTGTCGTCTGCCATCACCGGAGCCCTCTCTGAGTGGTATGTTTTGAAGGATTGGTGGTCCGGGTCCGGACAACTGAACATATGTTAGTTTTGCTATCTACCATACCCAAGGTCAAACAGTGTGTTGATACGGAGTTAGGATCTTTGGTCAATACACCATGTGTGATTTTATTTTAATTGGTACATCGATTTTTCCGTGTTTATATTTTCTTTCAGATTCTACTGAATCTATTTTGTTTTTATTTAAACCACAGACTTTACATTCTCATTGACAGTGCGCCTTTGTACTATCTTCTGCAAATTGAAGGACACAACGATAACGTACACTGCGGAAAAAAAAACCCAGTTTCATGTCATACGCATGCTCCTTACAGATATCGACATTGATTAAAAATCAGGTCATGTTTTCTTTATAGATACAGTGTACATGATAATGCCTTCTGTCATCATTGACTGCCTGCGCATTCTTCATCATGATGACGAGTAGAGATATCAATATATGTAGTTTATCCTTTCGATTGTTTTATATGTAATGCGCGCGAACCAGAATAAATCGTTTTCTATTTCCATTGCTCTTTTATTGCTGCTTTTTGCATAATTTGGGACATTTACAGCTGTTTAAAGTAATAAAAAACATATGGCAATGACTGGCCTATTCAAAGATGTTAAATTTTATCGATCGCAATTTTATATTTGTTTTAAGTCTAGTTAGAGTTGGAATAGCACAAACCCCAAGAAATCAGTGAAACTGTCTCGCGATGCTCGTGAAATTCAACTCGTATTTAAAACAAGGTTACAATTCCTTGTTTTAAAAACAAGGTTTAATAACATGTAGTTATCTTTTTTATTGAAGATTGTACTTTACGCTACCCAATATATCAGTTTTAAACTTAACATCTCCTATTAATAACGACCGTATATTCTTCTTAAAACTGCAAGGGAAATAATATTGGAAGTTATTGTTTTTTTTAATAAATTCACAAGAAAAAGCTCAGAAAAACAGGATTACATTGATAAACCTTTTTTTCTAACTGTTTCATGCATTAGTGTCAGTAGGACATATATATTATATTATAAAAAGATGAAACGGTTTCTAGCTGCAAAATGTCATTGCTTTGAAATAGTAGAATTGACAATTGTCTATTCCGTTACTTACGTGACCATGTGTTACTGAAACTATATACAACGCGGGTACATAATGTATCTTGTTTCAGTGTTTTTGTATAAATAAGTTGCTGCACATGCAATACCTTTTGTTGCAAATTATAATGACAACATAATGATTACGAACGTGTATAGGCTCTGTGTCTATATCAATTTGCTTAGTATCTCATTTCAGGAAAAATGATGTTATTTGAGAATCAATTTGATCGACAAAACTAAGAAGTACCTATATGTTTATGTGTTAAATTTATTTTTGATTTGAATTCATTTGGCAGCAGCTTGACAGATATTTTATAGAGTTTCATAAAGAACAGCCATTGTAATAAATGTTTATGTGTGGCTTTTCGATGGCTAGTAGGTTATGAACTCTGTCACGTTAATACGACAGGTGACCGGTAAAGCGTACGCACATTTAGATCTAGATGTTGGAAAAGTGCGAGTTGACAATCGAACCAACCGCTACATATTTACAATCCGGAAGAAATGTTTCGAAATATGGTCGAGATATAGACCAATACGCCAGAATCAGTACTAGTACAAATTCTTGTCTGTTCAGCTATACGGCATCAAGGAAGAACAATGCGTAACAATGTATCGGTAAAACAGCGTGTATTACTAGTGTGTACGATACTTAACCATGTACTCCTGAAAATATTGTGTCCGTCAGCTAAACATGTAAAAAAAATGTCTATATTACTTAACCAGGTACTACTGAAAATGTTGTGTCTCTTCCCTAACCATGTACTCCTGAAAATATTGTGTCCGTCAGCTAAACATGTATAATTGAAAAAAAAAGTCTAATTACTTAAACAGGTACTACAGAAAAAATTGTGTCTCTTCCCTAACCATTTACTACACAAAATATTGTGTCTCTTCCCTAACCATGTACTACTGAAAATATTTTGTCTCTTACCTAACCATGTACATGTACTACAGAAAATATTGTGTCTCTTCCCTAAATATGTGCTACTGAAAATTTTGTATCCGTTTCCTAACCATGTACTTTTGAACATGCTATGTCTGTAACTTAACCACTTGATACTGAAAATATTGTGTCCGTTACCTTACCATGTATTACTGAGAATATTGTGTCTTTGTCCGTTCCATATACTGCTGAAAATAGTGTATCCGTTTCCTATCCTTAAACTACTGAGAATATTGTGTTCGTTACAGTAACTAACCGTGAACTACTACCTTATACTACTGAGAATATTGTGTCCGTTACAGTAACTAACC